AAACCTTCGAAAGCCTCTATCTCCCGCTCAGCACAAGCAAGCTCCGACCCCAGACCAAGCGGATTCAGCACATTCCATGTGTGCTTCAGCTCCCAAGTGAAGGATTTCAAGTTGGCCTGTATGGCATCGATTGTGTGCACGATCCTTTGGTCCTCACCCCGCGACCTCACCGGACTAGAGCAATGAACCAGCTCACTCTGAACTCCTTCCTCTCGCGGGCCTGACTCAGGAAACCCAGCCCCAACCAGAGATGGTTCACCTTTCAGACCTCGCAGCTCGGGATCAACAGACGGCTCGGTCACATCTGACAAACGAAATCCACGCTCACGCAGCCAGCAAAGCTCAGCATCGTTTAAGCAAGATGTACCTGTTGATGTGTACCCAATGGCAACTAACCTATCACCCTGAAAATCTTGCACCTCGTGATAGCGGCGCGGATCAAATCGAAGGCACGGAGAAAGTGAGTAGAGCCAGACTTGAGCACCTGCGATCCTGGCACCCTTCTGTCCGAAGATCCTCCGAGATCATCCGGCCCTTCTACCCACAGCCCTCCGCCCCGGAAAGATGTGATGGGGACGATTGTGTTCAAAGACCCTCGAAGGTTGCCGATATCCCGATGGCACGCTTGACGACGATTACGACACAACGCAATGGCACTGAACTGAGCCTCTGGGCATTGCTCCGTCAAGAAACGACGCATGACCTCCGTGAGTGCTGGTCGATCATACGAAGCCCGTGTAATGCCACACATACCCCCAAAACCATAGCAACCCAGAACCAAGAACAAATCCTTTTCTGCATCGTCTGCTAAGCCAGCGCGACTCATCTTCGAAGAACGGGTTGACTGTGATGAGCGCAGAGCTGAGGCGTCAAGGAGATGCAAGATTTGATCTCTGCTAAGGGCCTCCTCCTGTGTCAACAACCGTTTTGCCTCCGCCTCACTTTGATCTACGGACCAAACTTGCTGAACACCTAGGCAGGATTCCCCTGGACCAGATTGCTCTGGCACGTCGAAGCGCACGCGTTTCTGATCCCTACAGTAGCTTCCACAGACCCAACACCAAGGTCAGAACATCTCAGAATCCCAACCGGAGGACTCTTGCTAGTATACCGTCTACGACTTACAGGTCGAGAGGCTTCCGCTTCAGCGACAGAGACAAGAGGACGCAGCTCAGGAGCCTTCGAAATTTCAACATCCTCCCCCGAACCCTGTAACTCCCCCGAACCCGGCAAAGGTATCTCCCCCGCTCCCCCTTGCGCGGAGCGGGGAGGGCCTTTGCCGGAATGGCGACGCAAGGGTGGTAATAGATGTTCAGCAACGTGGTGCTCGGGATGGGGGCCCTGACAAACCGCTTCAACAAGCGAGTCAGAATGCAAGAACTGACTGTCAGCGGTAAGGACGAGATGACCTCGATGAAGATCCCCACTAGGAGACACGACACGGCCAGGCGTGGTCCGACTACTCCACTGATCCGTATGCCAAGTGCGCGTACGAATGACAACCTGGGTATGCCAAGGCAAAAGAGCAGGAGGCGTAAGTCCAATGACAGAAAGAGCATGTGCTCGGAGGCGGGCGGCGGCATGCCGCATAGCGAACGCCCAGTGATCAAGAGGCACCCCATGGGCATGAAGCAGCGCGCGGGCCTGGCGTTTAAGACGCCGCACCAAGTTTTCGCAACGACCGTTCTGCCGAAAGTCCAAGGCATTATCCCCGGCCGTTGTGGTCTGCTCGATACAATGTTGATCGCAGAAGAGACACAGAGTACGATTAACAAACTCCCCTCCCCTGTCCGAGTGTAAGCGAACAACCGGCAGGCCTAAAGCCCGCAGAGAGCTCACCACGTGGCTAACACCTTGGGTGGCATGCCTGGTAGGCAAAGGTACAAAGAACGGTAGTTCAACAATATAGGCACCGCAGGTAGCGGCCGGTCACGCCAGGAGTTTTCCCAGCAGCGTGTGCTGTCATCAACAGCCTGGGCCTCAGAAGACGACAAAGACCCAGGAGGATCCTGAGAAGCAAGACAGGAATCTTCAAACACAGGAAGATCGAAGGAGGCTCCCCCGTCGTCCGCAACAGGGCTCTGTGGAGACAATGATAACAATGCCGACGGCGAGGCAGGTGATCCTGGCGCACATGCTGATCCCAGGACTGTTCGGCTCGCTCAGAGAAGGTGGCACCCCAGGACCCCACCCCGAATCTCCATCTGAGTCACTAGATGACCGGGAGCGTGATCGAGGTCTCGCAGGATACGCCGGTCGATGGCGAGTACCGGCCGTGCAGTTCAAAGACACCTGATGTTGCAGAAAGTCGTAAATGGCCTGAACAAGGCCAGGAGCCCACTCGGCCCAACCAGACGTCTGACCTATCAAACCCTGACCAGGTCGCGAGTGCACGGGCAAACCATGACCAAGCCCTCGAGTTGATTGCAAACTCCACCCGACGCCTTGAATAGCCAAAGTAGTGGGTTTGCGGCGCTCATGACCAAGCGGACCCTGATCCAGCGAAAGCATGGTCACAGGCTCGGCGCGGGCATACTCCAGCCAAGCCGGCGTACGCCACCAAGACGGATAAAGACGACCCTGACCATCAGCAGGAGAATCAAAGACGGTCATAGGGTCCTCTGGCGACTCCAAAACCGAACACCATGACAAATCCAAGCGCTGACGACCATGACGACCGACCGTAGCAAGGTAGAGATGTTTCAAGTACAGCAAAGTATCCTGATCCACATAGGCCTGCTCACACTGAGACAACCCTGGAAGTCCATATGCATCCTCCCCCGTACCCCGCAGTGGGCGAGGTCCATCCGAACCAGCATCATAATGACGGGAAGCTGGGTAAGTCTTACCGGGCGGACCACCGATCAAACCAGCGACACACCCTTGAGCAGTAAGACCCAAAAGGAACCCAAAAGGTTTCCGGATTGTGCAAATCCTCCTCCACGTCAACATCTATCACAGGCCAGGGTAGATTCTTGAACTTGCCTTTGGAGGCTCCAGAAACAGATGAACAATGACATGCTCTGATCTAGCCCATCGGCGTCGCATACGCCGTGGCCACGGTCCCCTGGTGGTTGTGGGGACAGCTAAATCCGGAAGCAAACGAGCGGGAACACTAGGAACGGTACCAAGGAACCATCGTAGAAGATCATCCCCACTATCCCAAACACTGCTGACAGCTTCAGGAAAAGACATGACAATCGGCTGGGCAGAGCGGCACACGCGCCAGAGCGGCCACGCGACGTGCATGTCGCAAGTGAGCCTGTTCGACCTGATTAATCAAATCCATGGCCAGTTGGCCCGTAACCTCAGGACAACCAGAGCTCTGATCTAAAGACAGCTGGGCATGCGGAGGTTTCCACACCTGGATGTGCCCTGGTCGCAAGTACGACCCCAGCTTAACAAGCTCATGCAGTGCAACAATCGGCTCCACCGGTTCACGAGTGATGAGTATCCCCGTGGAAGTCTGACGGATCCCATCTGAATCCCCAACCGCGAGGCGCATTCTCACAGGATAAGCACCTTCCCACTCAAGCTCACTACGGGCTTGACGCAAACACGCCGTTGCCCCCGCATCAATCAAACCCTTATCCGGAACCTGTTGCAAGCTTGCGCGACGCAAAGCCTTCAAGGACCTGAGCGAGTTCGTGATTGAAGCCACTGCCTCCTGGATCACCTGACACCACCACCACCACCACCACCACCACCACCACCACCACCTTCTGCATTCGAACAAGAAAATCCGAGAGGGCGAGTTCTATGGCCTAGTGAGCAGCAGTTCGCAGTTGCTGGGTGAAGCTTCTGGAGAAGACTATGGATAAAGCCCTGAAAGGTATGAGTGTCGAGTTCATGTCTGGCAAACATGACCTAACCCTTGATGCCTCTTGAGCCGGGGCTGCGTAGCAAAGTCCTGCTAAGACTCGCGTTTGCCATTCCTTGAGTAAAACGCTCGGGAGGCGTGCGCTTATGTAGGACCTCTTTTGTGTACAGTTCATGCTGTGTGTTTGTGTATATACCGCAGCCGTTTTACGGACTTAAGCGATAGCCCTGCGTGCTAAAATCGCTTTGCATCTAGGTTGTTCTGGCGGAGCAAGTTCCTAGCTTCCCAGAACCCCAGCAGCCTCAAGCTCCATGAAGCTAGTTCTCAAGCAGTGATAGGGCCACGACGACCATGACGACTGAGACGACCACGGCCGCAACACAAACTCTCCGTGTCTGCGGAGTTTCCAGCCTTTTCAGGGCGTCATCCCACAATCGTTCACCCCACGTACCGGCGGGCTTTAAGGTTGCGCAAGTACCGTTGCCGCAGTGCTTCCGCTCCTTGTCACGCGAGTGCAAGGATTGTCAGGACACCCAACAATGCTTCCCCCATGTACTGGTCTCGGAGATACGGCCAGAGGGCTTCCCTGACTGGCGTTTCCCTGCCAACATGAAACGAATGTATCGGCCCAGTGAAGATTGTGTCATTAATGCAAACTATGAACCATACTGTAGCTGGGGCAGGATTATGAGCAGAGAGCAAGGAAACAAACAAGCACGACAAGATAAACAAACACGGCTAGATGAACAACACAAAGCAACGAAACTAATCTCGCCACGAGGGCAGACTGCACTAATAACCCAAAGACGCAGAGCAGTTCACATCTTCGTTCTTGGCATCCCTGTTTGGGCCCATGGTTTAGAGATTGGTTTTCGCTGCCCGTATGCTTGGGTATTCTGCGGTACGGAGAATGGTTCTAACTTCCCTGGGGTGGTTCTAACTTGGCCCCCGGGCGAAAACGACAAATCTGGTTAAAAACTTCGCACTCGGAATTTCCTGCGGGGGGCTGGCGCCCGAGATTTTGGCTCCGGGTGGTTCTAACTTGCCGTCCGGGAGTGTAAGCCTGCAAATTGACCAAGCTGGTGCGATCGCGTGTGCTCGTTCTGCAGTCGACTGAGTAGTGGAATTTCCGTAATGGGACTGCAAGCAGAAAGAGCTGAAAGAGCGATTGCTTTTCCAGGGACCTCCGGCGAGTGCTCTACTTCTTGGGCCTGGGCTACCTCTTCTGCGGTGTAGGGGTTGCTGGGCCCCGAGAGGTCACAGCACTGCACACCTGCCGTTGCCATGACGGTGGAATCACAGAATGAATGGTGTCGCATGCTCCATGGGTCAGAGGATCTCCAAACATTTTTTGTGGAAGGTCGTAGTGCAGTTCCGCAAGACACCTGAGAAGCAGAAGAGAACGAGTCGAGGTGTCGGACATTTTTATGAGCTCCATCGAGGAGATCACGGCGACGCGGCCGTTTGTTTGGCAGAGGGGGGCAGAGAGGCTCCCGGGCGCCTCTCCGCGCCTCCGAGGCGAAGACCACGAAGAAGATGAATCCGACCACCGGGGACTTCGCCCGGAGCCGAGCGCAGTGGTGCGGAGCGGGGCTCCCTTCCTTTCAGAGTTCTTGGAGCAGAAGACTTCGTATTTCTGGGATGTGCGCTGATGCAGTTGTGCTCAGGTGAGGGTGAAGGTCTGGAATGCCACAGTGCGGACCCAAGCAAAAGCACAACGTCTTGATTGCGCTCTAAGTTCTACGTCTGGGCCCGGTTGTGCATTCGAAAGCCACGCCTAAAGTATTTGCATCTGCGGAGCTGTGACAGCACTTCACGGCGTGCACTCTCTGCGGCAGCAGATGGTGATGCATGGTTTGGAAGACCTACGCTTGACGAGGCCCAAATTCCTCGCATGTCCATCGCTCTGCCCTAAGTCCTAACTACCTCTAGACTCCAGTCCTGACGGGGTCCAAAGTCCATAATCCAACAGGGAGAGCCGAGCACAGCCCCCAGCAACTCCCAGGCCCCTGTCACACCTGAGGTTGCCAACCTGACCCTGATGGCACTTGGTTCTTCAGCGCCGGAGATCTTGCTGAGTCCCGCTCTCGGCATCTCCGGGGTCGAGTTTTTCATGTTGTGCTAGGGTAAATGCAGGGGCCTGAAAGACTAGTCGCATTGCTCCTGTGGCTCTCCCAAAATATGATGCAAAACTAGCCGAATCCAGTGACCCGAGGCTCGTAGGGAAACCAGGCCCTGGGAATGTGCAGGCTCTCGAAACCCGTCATTGCATATCCTGGGTTTGGCACTGTTAGCATGTTGCTTCGTGGATGCTGAACAGTTTGGGTCTGTTGGTGATTCATGCTAGTTCTGTTTGCTGTTTGTTTGGCATGATGTTGTGAATGCTGGCAAACTCTCTCCGTGAGCAGTGGGGCTCATATGCCGGTTTATGACTATTCTGGCATTGTTGTGATTCTTGACGCACAGTGGTGCTGCATGGGGTGATGTTATCGGAAACTATGCAGATGCTCCTGCTATCTCGTGCTGCTGCCTGCGCCATCGAGAGGGTTGATGTGTTTTAAGCAATCGTGAGGCAACATCGTGAGATCACAGTCATCACCTTACTGTCGATCAACCAGAGCATAACATTTTTGCGACGCTTTCGACAGCAAGGAGGGCCACCCATATTGAACAATCACCTTGCATGCTTGAGCTAGCTTCACCCTCTTTAGTCGAAAGCTTCGGGTTTAGGATGTTCACACGGGGATAGACTGAGAAGCGCGATCCCCCTTTTGACATTTGCATTTAGAGCCGTGCTGCTGCCTCAACTGTGTCTCATGGTTGGAGTTTGGAGGACCTTGCGCCCAGAGTGCCAACAGCGGACAGAGACACTCATTCAAAGAAGAGACAAGCTATGACGTATTCAATGCATCCCCTCAATACGGAGCAGCCTCGCGCACGAGGTATCATTGAGCTTGTTGGCAACCGAATGTACAGTGGCGAGCTGGGACCCTCAACGATTGTGGGCCGCTCACTCAGGGAGCTTCAGTCAGGTGTTCACCGACACAAAGAGGATTCGTGTAGGTGCACAAGGGTCGTTCCTTGGGTGTGGCATCGGACCGACACGCACTGCCACATAGCAAACAAGCTGCCTAAGCGTCATTACAGAGTCAACTGTCTACTAGTACTAGTACTGCTGCTGCTACTACTACTACTACTACTACTACTACTACTACGACTACTACTCCTATTGCTACTACTGCTACTACTGCTACTGCTGCTACTGCTGCTACTGCTGCTACTGCTACTACTGCTACTACTGCTACTACTGCTACTGCTACTTCCTGCTGCTACTACTGCTGCTGCTACTACTACTACTCCTACTGCTACTGCTACTGCTACTGCTACTGCTACTGCTACTGCTACTGCTACTGCTGCTGCTGCTACTACTACTACTACTACTACTACTACTAGTGCTGCTGCTGCTACTACTGCTACTACTGCTACCAGCGCTACTACTGCTACTACTGCTGCTACTGCTATTACTGCTGCTACTGCTGCTACTTCTGCTACCGCTGCTACTGCTGCTGCTGCTGTTACTGCTGCTACTGCTACTGCTACTCGTACTCCTACTCCCACTCCTACTCCCACTCCTACTCCTACTACTACTACGACGACGACGACTACTACTACTACTACTACTATTGCGACTACACTGACGCGACTGCCCCTACCATCTCTACTGGCGCTACTGCGACTGCGACTGCGACTGCGACTGCTACTGCCACGGCCACTGCCACTGCCACTGCCACTGCCACTGCCACTGCCACTGCCACCGCTACCGCTACTGCTACTGCTACTGCTACTGCTACTGCTGCTGCTGCTGCTGCTGCTGCTGCTAGAGCTGCCCCCGCCAACCGTGCCACCGCAAGCAAAATCTGAGTTGTAGTGAGCAGCTACTGTACAGTAACTTGGCAGCATTGGTGCTTCTCCTCTCGTTGCAGGCAGCGCAGCCTTCAACCTACTTTGCATCATTGCCGTTTGCATTTGTGCGATCCCAGCCGGGGAGGCCGCGGGCTTCAGAGTACGCACAAGTTGCCATGGCAGCACTTGCAGACTCTGCGCATTGGTCAGATTGCAGCAGCTGCAAGATTGATGTTGGCGGTGCTGCTGCAACCAGCACCTCAATGTGTGCTTCCATCTCGAAAGCGGAGGTGCGCAAGATCAAAGAGGTTCCCGTGTTCGTCGTCACGACTTGCTTCTCCATCTTCGACACCTGGCGACATTTCCACATGTGCAGGTGTGCTTGCATGGTCCTTCTGGTTCTGCATCGGGGTGGTGGTGGTGGTTGTTGTCCTTGTCCTTGTTCAGTTCTTGTGTTTGTTATCTTTGTTCTTGTTCTAGCCGCTACGATTCACAGAATGCATCTTAGACATGCTAACCTGGCTTCGGGCGCAACTCAAAAGGTTGCAACGGGCTCCTTTGCGAAATGTCCGGGACGTTCTTCACTTGAGCCATTTGAGCGTGCCTCGGAGCTTCGTGCCTCTGTGGACGGCCGGGTTCCAATTCCCAGGCCTCCTTGCGACCGCTAGTTCTGGACAAGCTGACGGTAAGCGGTATTTCCACGCGGTGGAAGCAATATTTGGGTTACGCCTGGTGTAGCGAAACTATAGCGGATGGTGCGCCGACTGTGCCTCAGTGTTGTTCTCCTGCCTATGCTTGCGTTTGTTGCATTTGTGCTGACAAGAGGACCGCACAAAATAGGTCAAGGAGCAGCTCCATCTTAAATCGGCCGTCTTCCGAACTTGGGTACCTTGCAGGAAGTTTTCGGAACAAGGCCTCATTCGTTGCGTTTCTTCGATAGTTCAATTGCTGGACAAGACACCCAGGGACAGCTGAAGGTTCGTTCTGCGCAGTTTTTGCTGGGCTTTTGGTATGCGACTCTGCGAGCGCTCTCTCACAAGCAGACCTGGGTCGCCTGAGATTTTGGAGCAGCATGTTTCGGAAACTACACATTCGTGCACGGACACAGTAGGCTGTCGCCAGCTGCGACGCAGCCAGAGCAATCAAGTTCGCCTGGCATCGCCGAGACGGCTTTGCGCAACAGCGCTGCGCAATGGCGCATCAGTTCCTGGGCTTTTTCAGGAATCGGATGGATTGGCAGATAGCCTTAGCGACAAGCACGACACAACATTCCCATCTTACCTGTTGTTGGTCGACCCGTCGGTGTGCCGAGCGTGGCACGCTGTGATACCAGCCTTCGGGTTGGCGTAGAAAACATTGAAGCTTCCGCTGGATACCAAAACCCAGAGGACCAGGTGGCGGAGCCCATATCCGATTCAGTTCGAGCTTGGCCTGGATCTGTTTTGCTCGTAGTTTTAAGTGTTTGAATACCACCGGCAGATCCATACGGCTATAAAGCTATAAGTACTGCCGGGCCATCCCAGCTGGATCGTAGCAGCCTCAGAGTGCCGTCGAACGCCATGCCCCGGATCGAGATGACCATGGCGAGGAGGGGGCTAGAGTTGGCGAGGCTGACTCAAGCGGTCCCGCCATCGGTGATGTCACAACCTGCATAGGGAGACATCGTGTCATCCGTTTCACTACCCTAAGCTTCGGCAAAGCCCAGCCAGGAAATCTTCCCACACTGTGCTCGCCTTTGTCCAGCCCTACGATTAGTGTAGCACTTTATTACAGCCGCAATCCCTTTCTGGAGCAAACAGCCGCGAGCCTACCTGACTACCTCTGCAGCAAGGGGGATGCAAAACTGTGCACGGAGCTACCTGCACCACCGGCTGCTTCACTTACGCCCAGCATACTCTGGACCTCTTTTATTTCCAATCCGCCCAGGTCAGAACTTTTGCTGCCAGCTCAGGAAGCCAGAGCCCTGGCCAGGCACAAGCTGTGGGAGACTTCTTTGGCGAGCTGGATACCGCACACCTTACGGCCCATCAGCTGCTGACTGTGAGGGACTTAGTGTGGGACGCACTGGACGGCACTCATGGACACGGTTTGTGGAGAACGACCCAACAACCGACCGTTCGTGAGCATGGGACTTTTTTGGCTCACACGGATGGTGTCGGAGGTCGTCTCATTATTTCAGAGGGCGACTGAGGCCGTATTCAAGATTGTACAAAACTTCATTACATGGAACCCGGAGTGCTCAAAGTGCCGGAATACTGAAAAATGGAGAAGCTGCATTGAGAGTTTCATGCCATTGCATATGTGGTGTAATGTCGCCATGGCAATGATGATTGAGTCTCATGCACTGCTTGAGTCATAGAAGAAGCAACGCTCGACGGTTGGCCTAAACCAGGGCCGTTGGATTGCTTCGTCGCGGCCTTCCGGGACGAAGCGTAGCAATGCCTACTCAACCGTAGTAGGGCTGCAAGGGTCTGTTTCTTCATCTGCACAACAAATGTTATGTAGCTGCTACGGCAGATACAGTTCGCCCGCTATGAGCAGAGCCGGCTCGCTCAGCGTCCAAGACAAATTGTTGTTGTTTTTGGACGTTGGATGTTGGTGTTGATGTTGATGTAGCCGCTACGGTTCACAGAAGGCATTTTAGCTGTGCTAGCCGGGCTTTGGGCGCAGCTCTAAAGGTCTGCAACAGGCTCCTTGCGAAGCGTACGGGACGTTCTTCCGCCTGAGCCTTTTGAGTGTGCCTCGGAGCTTCGTGCCTCTGTGGACGGCCGGGTCCCCATTCCCGGGCCTCCCGCGACAGCAAGTTCTGGACAAGCTGGAGGTAAGCGGTAGGGTTTCCACCTGTCCGCGCGGTGGAAGGAGCAGTACTTGGGTCACACCTAGTGTTGCGAAACTAGCGGATGGCGCGCCGACTGTGCCTCAGTGTTTTTTTCCCGCCGAAGCTCTTTTGTTTGCAAGAGGACCTGCAGAACGAAGCAAACCAAGCAGCAGTTCCAGCCGTCAGTTGGCCGTCTTCTGAACTTGGGTGCCTAGCAGGAAGCTGTCGAGACGAGGCCTCGTTCCTTGCCTTTCTTCGACTTTTCCACTTCTGGACGAGAGACCCAGGGACAGCTGAAGCTTTTTTCTACGCAGTTTTGTTGGCACTTTGGTTTTGCGCTTCAACGAGCACTCTGTTACAAGAAGGAGCCGGGTCGCCTGTGCTTGTAGCGCAGTCTGCTTTGGACACTACACCTTTTTCCAAAGGCAGGGTAGACTGCCGCCGGCTGCGACAGACAGTGCGATCGAACTCCTCCGCTACCGTTGAGAACCTTTTGCGCAGCACTGCAGTTGAGCAAGCGCCTTCGAATAAGTCAGACACAGGAGAGGATGGGTGCCACTACACGGCCTCGACAGCATCCTCCCAACGCTGGCTCCGAAGTGCACCCCTGGGACTTCACTTACTCTAGGGTGCCCTTGAGGGCCTGGGATGGCTATCCGCTCTTGAGGGGGAGGCCTTTCCACAGGCCGCCGGGCTAGATTTGGTTTCAAGACAAGGCGCAGGTTGGGACACCGTGGACTCAGGTTCAGAAGAGCAGCTTGCGCTCTGACGACGAACCATCCTTGCGGCCCATCGCTGGTAGTCGAGAGTTACCTAGAGTGGAACGCCACTTGACGGGAACTCTGGGAGACGGCTCTTCTGTGTACGACCCGCCGGCTGCCAGCTCGTGAGTATTGGGCGCAATGACTCACACTGAGGGTGACGGAGGTTAGATGACCAAGATCTGTGAGCCTAGCTGGCACCGCCCTAGGGAACTGATGGCAAAGTCCCGCGACCTGCTTCCTTGTGGCAAGTGTTCAAACAGCTGCTGCTGCACTGTACAGTATGCAGCGACACTCTTTTCTCCAAGGCCGTAGTTTTCGATTGTTTCTAGCTGAGGCTCCTTTTTTCCTTCTCTGAGGCTCCTGTAGAGGTTGAACGGCCTTCTCTGTGTTTTAGCTAGGCTTGTGTGTCTCCGTTAAAGGTTGTTGGCCAGCCCGAGGCCTCGGAGCAAAAGGAGTTTGGCACATTGCTCCAGAAACGGATGCAGGAGGTACCTGCGATGATCGCAGGGCAATCCCCTCGCGCCGCCACAACCTTTGTAAGAATTTTTGTTTATAAAGCCGCTCTACCTCTGTTGGAATGTCGGCAGGTCCGCTACTAAGAGGCGGCGCTGGCCTACGGCACGTCTCGCAGTCTGTGATACGCCCGCTATGAGCAGAGCCCGCTCGCTCAGCGTCCAATCAAAAAGTTGATGTTGATGTTAATGCTGATGTTGACGTCGTTGTTGTTGTTGATGTTGATGTTGCGACATGAGTCAATCGCCGTATGCAACAGTCCACTGTTCGGCGCACGCCCAGTTGCCATAGTGAACCACGGTATGTTCCCGAATTTTCCTTTCTCGATTCCTTGCTTGCAGTCAACTGCTTGCTCGCACAATAGTACTTCCGCGTGTCTTTGTCGACTTCAGTCGCGGGTTGGTTCCTCATGATTGCACAAGGTCATCTGCTCTTGACTTTTGCAGCAGGGCAACAGTGTCTGAAATCCAGGCATGTTACAACAAGTACATGACAGTCCTGTGTAGTTGCGCGTTTTTTCGTGGCAGAGCAATGCTGCTAGTAGCACTTGCGTTTGAATGCACAATTTACAACAAGTCAGCCACAAATCTTCTGCACCGAGCAGAAGGATGGCTTGAGAACGTTGCGTTCGGAAAGCCAATCTACGAGAAGAACTTGCACATGGCTCGCGCGCACAACTCACACCGCAACAGCAGCGTGTACAACCAACAAAACACACGTGTTGTTTGGGTTCGCAAGTTGTGTTGTGTGCACCCTGTCCCGAGCCCCTAGTGCAGGCTGCATGTGTAAATGCTTTCAGCATTCAACTCCATGTGGCGATCGGCGTAGACTTGCAGATCAGGTCCTCTGTTGTTTGACGTAGTTTTGGGTTTTATAATCTGCCATAGCCTGAGGCCTACTTGTGGCTTCTCATGATTCTTCTGGCGCCAAACTCAGACAATGCTGGCCTTGGATTCCAAGCTTGGCATGGCCTCATTGTGTCTGAGATTGAGTTTCTGCATGGTCCAGGTCACCAGCCCCAACGTGGTCGAGATCTGGGAAGGCTTGTGCGAGACACGAGCAGCTCCAATTTTGCTTGTGGCCAACACAACAAGTGCATGCCATGGGCAAGGCCTCCCAAAAAGCCAAACAAAACCATAATGCAAAGCTTGAGGCACTGGGTCCGAGCAGGAGCTGGTATGTTCAGAATCGTCATCGGTGAGAGACGCGGCGTCATGTGCAGAGGTGTTTTCACATTCCTCTTCTTCTGGATTTTGATTGCTGTCCGCCCCTGAAAGCTGAGTGCAGAGGGATTTTGTGTCTCCACGTTGGGCTTCAAGCTTCAAGCAACTGTGAATCTGCTCTCGATTAGCGCATTCTGGCAGTCTGGAAGGCAGCACCAACCAACACAGGAGTTGCGTAAGCACAGTATGGCCTTGCCAGCTCCAAGAGACAAGAGCCGTTCGTTTCGGTCCCACTGCTCAGATCGCATACATGGCCGCTGGCAGCTCAGATTTCCGCTTGGTCTCAGCTGGACTCGGACATGCCAGGAATGCAGAAAGAGCACCTCAGAGAACAGCTTCATATCAGAAGCTGTCGCCGCTCTCTGCATTCCACCTAACCCGAGGACCGTGGATATTTTGGTTGCAGGTCGGCAGAGGACGAGGACAGGTCGACATAGTTCTACCTGTGCTGCAAGTCGAAATTCTCGACTTGAGAAGTTCTGTTCGAAACTGCGCGGCCGCGCATGGCAAAGGAAGCAACACGAAAGACGTTGAGAGGAGGACAAACCCAGGCTTAAGGGGGCACACATGTTCAAAGCCGTGCCATGACGAAGAAACGACCATTAGTTTGTCCGGAGGTAGCAGCAGTTGCCCTTGCGCCGACAGCAGCTTTGAGACAAAGACGAAATCGCGAAGCTTTCCAGACCATGCTTTGTTGCAAATTCGAAACACCTTGGCGCAGAGGGGCTCAGAGTGTGCCCTGCGTTCGAGCTCGTGCTGTGTCATGGTCACAGCTTCGCACAGCCCCGTGCCGCCCTGTGCCAGGAGGACGAAGAGGCGGGACGACGCTCAGTGCCGAAGAAATGACCTTAAAGTAGTCATCGAGGTAGGGTACCCCGGGCCCTTCTGACCTTCAGAAGAACCTTGTTACGTGTGGGGCCGAAGACGAGGGTTCTGGCTTCTTGGCGCTCGCTCTGATCTTCCACAAAGTCGCAGTCCCGCACGTTTGACTTTTCATCCGGACACGAGAACTGACAGGCTCAGCAGTACCGAAGCAGGGTCATCAGCCGGAGCCTCAATATACCTCCCAGGACTCCTCGGGGCATCGCCCCCAGCAGTTCCTTCGCCGAGCTGTCGCAAGAACTCCATCTTTCAGCTGACTACCAAAACTCCAAGGCTCTTCTGCAAAAACACCCATGAAGCCGCACTTGCATAGTGGAAGATATGCTCCATCAACCCTACTCTACCATGAAAGACTCCTGAAAGCTTCACGAATCTCGGAGAAGCACTTCGACGGGTTGAAAATCGAGGCCGTGCATAAAATTCGCTTGAAGACCGCGGCCACGTAGATTGAACTACGAAAGCAGGTGAAGCATAGAGACGTCGCCGCATGTGCCGCCAAGAAGTGATGGGCGCAGTGGTTAGAGAGTGAGGAGAGCCGGGAGGGAGAGCCCAGAAGCAAAGCGGGCGAGGTGCCGAGCTCAGCGCGGAGGATTTGGCGAAGATCCAGAGCCACCTCCTGCAGGCGCAGAGAAGCGACTCTGCTCTGCTACTCGACTCTCGGCGCTCTCGGCGCTCTTCTCTCTCTCAGTCTCTCACTCTCTCACTCTCACATATATGGATGTAAGTTGATCAGAGGTCCACGGCCACCACCTCACAGACGAAGAGCTCATCAAGCTCATCGAGGCCGATCCCATGACGTGTTGGCCAAGGATTTCGGTGACTTTCTCGACTGCTGAGCGGTTTCTTTGGCGAAGTGGGGGCTGAGACTGCTGTGGAGTCTTGTCAGCTCCTGCTGAGCACTTAGAGCAGGGACTGAGCAGGGACTGAGCGGCGTCTGGACGCGAGAGACGCGAGCCAAGGCCGAGCAGAAGGCCGAAACTCCCCGGACGAAGGATCCCACCGCCGGTCGCCAAGGAAGGCTGTGGAGCTGCGAAGGAAGCTGCTAAGGGAAGTCTTAGGAGGCCCTCCTCAGCCCCTGATCCTCTGATCCTGCTCCGGCCCGCTCCTTCTCACTTCCGACCCAGGGCGCGAACATGCGAAAGGTTGCTCCCATGGATGCAGAGGAGGTCATGTCGGGCAGAGTGAGAAGTGCTCTAAGTCGAATGTGTGAGGTTCGACAGAAGGACACCGGCTGAAGCAAACTCACGACGTGAACTTCTCTCGCAATCCAGAACTACAGCAGTCTCAGTTTCAAACACTCGACAATGCAGGCTCCAGCGGCGAAGATCGCAGGCAGCACCGCCATAGTCGTCAGCGTGGCGGTTTTTGCTTGGTCAACTATAATTACATGCCTATGAACCTCTGGGCCTACACCAAGTTGCCGTGCCGTTCACTTGTCAATACATTTCAAAATCCTGCACTGAGCTGGTTGCCTGCAGCCACCAGTGTGGAGAAGGTGCGCAAAACCACGACAGTCGCGATGCATTGATGACCGGACCCACAGCATTGTTTTCCTGGTTGCTGACGTCAAATCCATACCATATCCATGACCCTCTCCCGAATACATCCAATCCCCAGAGAGAATGATTCTATAGTATATCAGGATTGAGCATCCCGTGCACAAGCGTTACTTCCTTCCAGGCCAGGGAGACAACGTGACTCCACCAAAGGCCTTGGACCTAAGCTGGTCCGTTGAGGGTGGCTTGCTGGGGCTAGCAGCTGGAGTCTTTTCCAGCCACTGAGCCCCGAGAAGAGGAACGGCCTCAGCTTTTCATTTGAGAGACTCCTGCTTTTGTGGTGATCCCATGACGTCGGATGATTCCAGTCGCACAGGGTGCTTGCTTCATGCCGCTACTCCCCCGCGTACCAAAAACCCAAGAGGGATATTGTCAGTCGCTGCAACGACCAAGCCGCAGGAACAGAAGAATGGAGCCTGCAGGGGGCAAGGAAGTGGGAGGAGGGAGTTGGGTGAGGCAGGGTTGTCTTGGCAATCTTGCTTCTGGTGGTCCCAAATTGAAAGCCGGGGAAGGGGGGGCGGGTATGGGGAACCTATGGATGCTTGGCCAGGCGAGGGGACCAAAAAAAACATGGTGTGAATTGTGATGCCGCGTGGATGATGATGATGATGAAGAAGAAGAAGAAGGTGATGATGTGAGGGCAGGGCGGTTCTGATCGAATAGACAAGGAGAAGCCCGTAAACCCTGTGAAAGTGTGGAGGAATTTTGCAGGTACTCTGCTCCGAAAAGAGGTTTTGATCATGACATGCCTGGATAGCCTCTCAATTATCATTTGCTGATGGTGACGAGGTGTTGTCGAGGCTGTTCGCAGCATGCCAAAATCCATCTGCCTGAGCAAACGTGTCCTGATGTTCGGGGTTTGCAACCGAATCACAGGGCGCAGCTCCAGCTCTTCAGCATACCGGCCGCATCCCCGGGCGCCAGCATGAAGCCACAGGGTGCCTTCTTGGAGTTGTAGAACTTCGATGGGTCAATCGTCCTTTTAGCAGCACGTATGATGGACTGGATTTGAAGCTTGCGCAGAAGGATTAGCTTCCTCTGCTCGACCTTGCGCAGAGGAGCCCGAACACTGCTGATTTTTGCGAGGACTGCAGTAGTTGGTATTTGAAGCCCTCTTACGGAAATCTGTGGATGTAGCTCTTCTCAAGTGTGTCATGTGAAGCCAGCTGAAACCTTCTGGCAAAGGGTCCGAATCTCAGGAGCCCCTGTTGCCACTTGCTACGCAGCTAATGATGGTGTGGAAAACACGAGCGCTGTCGCTGATAAGCGTGTGCATTGCTGTTTTTTCACTCCACCTGTAGTCACAGGAAGCTCCGAGCTTCTCCGCGGTGGAAGAAACAGATGGACTTGTGGAAGTTCGAGCTTGAGATCCTCGAGGAGAAGTGGGGTGTGAAGGTGTGGCGTCAGTTAGACGGCTCGCTTGTGATAAAGGGTTGGGCAACCTCTTGAAAGTTTTGGAAGAGCACTACTCGCCCCACCTGGAGGTTGTCTTTGCCAAGGGCGTTCGAGGACGCCATCTATGGGAACTTCAGGACACATGGAGTCGTTCAGTGATTGCGTCGTCCATATGGAGCATGCCATGAAGGAATTGGAGAAACAAGGTGTCAAAGTGCATGAGATTGCAGGTGGCTATGTGATGTTCAGGCATGCGAATCTTTGGGATGTGCAAGAGAGTCAGATGTTGACTTGCGGTCAAGGGAAGTATGACAGGAAAACGGTTGTGAGCAACTATGACCAACTTATGAGATGACGCTTACATCTACATTGGTGAAGATGACCTCGAGAAGATCTACGAAGAGGAGAACGACATGGTACCAGGACACCCGCAGGTCCATCCGGAACCAGAGGAATAGGCAAGGGCACAGGCAAGATACGGCCAGTGCTGGATATGAAGGGTTCAACCAAGTACGTGATGAAGTTCAGTGGATAAGGGACGCGGGTTCATGTGTTGAAGTTGCGCTAAGCGCACGAGGTGCGGTGTTGTCGGACACTGGGCCAGAGCATGCCGAAATGCTCTTGACGACAGAGGACGTGCCTCGGCAGCGCGGTCAGTACCGACTGCCCAGTCGACGACTTCGTCGCCGTCGGCAAGGTTTGGGTTTTACGCTGAGGCCTCAAATGCGGGGCATGACGCGTCGCAGAGCTTTTTCGGGAAAAGCAAGTCCGACTGCTACATGTCATGCGTTCCCACCTTTGGAAGCCTTCCGAGCTCTGCCATGGGGAAGAGTGAGAGTGCAAGAGTGGAACGATTTGCTGAACGCGGCTGCGAAACCTTTGTCGGTGTAACATGGTGTAACCACCAAATGCGGTCGAAGGCATCGTGGATATAGCGGCCCAAGGCGGCCTCGTGGGCAAGGCAGCCCTCTTGCAGCTGACAGAGACTTTGCGGGCTTTTCGGCTTCAGATCAGGTGGAATCAGACGAAAGCCCAGACCAGCGGAGTGAGAAGCAAAGCAAAGGTCTTAGGAGTGGCAAAGCTGCCAGTGGGGATCGCAGGGGTCAGTGGGTTGTTGGAGGTGCGTGCTGCGAGACCTACGAAAGCCACACTTTCCCGTGAATGGAAGCAGTATGTGTGCATGTTCGATGGGGCCCGGTCGTGATCGAGCAGACAACGACCAAGGCCTACGTGGAGGAGGACATGGCCGATGCTCCAATGGCTGATGACCTTGTTGAAGATGATCTTCCAGATGTGGAGACACTGGTCAAAAGTTGCCACAGAATGAGGGGCGCCCAGCTTGCCGCGAGCTAGCCAAATCCACGAGGATTGCAAGGGTTAAGCCCCACGTCATCAGGTGTGTGGCGAAGAAGTTTGCTTGTCCTGTGTGTGATGTGCCACACCTGGAGAACGTTCCAAAGAACTTGGGCTAGAACCTTCGGAATTCCCGTCGTGATTGTGGCCGATCGAGGAACAGAGTTCAGAGGACAGTTCGCGGATGTCCAGCGGGAGCTCTCGTTCGACGCAGCCAGATCTCCATGGCAGGCTGGAAAGACTGAGCGTGCCGGAGCCCACTACAAGCGTGTCTATGACAAGGCGATCGACTCTACCTTTGCAAGTTCGTGGGGAGAGATCTAAGACTCAAGACCTTGCTGTGTGAGGTGGAGATTGCAAGGAACCGCTACGGAAATCGCAGTGCATTCGGTCCGATGGAGCGCCAGATTGGACAGTGACTACCGGCTTTTCCGTTGTCTGATGAACATTCGGGTCCTCAGAGGGTGATTGATTGAAAGCTGTGGAGATGAGATGCGACGAGTGTTTTTTTATCAGAAAGGCAATTCAAGGGGCCTACGTCAAATCGCAGACGGAGACTGCCGTCGCCAAGGCTCACGTGCAAGAGCTAGAGTTCAGATTCAGTTCTCCTCCCAAAGAAACGGCGTACGTATACTGACAGCACAGCAGAAGGAGAGAAAACGACGCCACATGATGACTCCTGAAGCTCACGAAAGTCGGAAACCTTCATTGGTTGGACCTGGTGGAAGCCTAGTTTACGGGTTTCGATGAAGGGTGAGCTTTGGACAGCAATGCCGTCGTGTTACAAGCGAGGAGCAAGCTGCGAAAGAGATGTTGGCAGGTGAACCGGAAGCACTACGTCACTACGAGAAGAACTGTGGAGAACTTCACTCAACATGACTGGGGGAGGCTTCCAGAAGAAGAGCGTGAAGGAGAAGATGAAGTGCAAGGCATCAGGGGTTCGCGGGGAGATCCTCCCGATGATCAAAGACCTTCACAACCCCTCGGGTTAGCGACCCGGCAGGTTTTCCAGTACCGGAGGGTGAAGAGTTAGATTTATCTTTGGACTTGGGTGATGATCCAGTACTACCAGAACAAGGTGAGAATGAAGAACCAAACTTTGAGTTCGAACCGAGTCAGTGCCTGAACCGTTGCCAACTCTGCAAAGGACACTGACACCAGAGACCGCAAGATCTGTGCAGCGCAACGAGGAGCTGGACGGCAACGTCAAATGTCCAACGTATCGCGCTGTGAGAGAACTGGCAGCCAAGACGCCGCCCAGCAATCCGTACATTGCGGAGTCCAAGTCGGAGCAAGGACAACGAGGTTGGTTCTACTTCGAGGACAACACATGGAGCTTCGAGAAAGACGAATGGGAGTTCACGAGTCCCGACGTGATCATTCGGCGACACCATCTACCGCGAGATCGCCCATGCAATCCCAACAAATTTAAGGGGTCGCTGACGCCAAGAAGATTGCAGATGAGACAGACCTACATGGTGAAAGAAGATGGTGCAGTGGAGAAAGGCAAGGGCCTGTGGTTGAAAGAGAGAAAGAGGAGCGGCAAGACCAAAGAGTCGTGGATTGGGTTCACGGTGTGCTCGAACAAAGAGGGGTGGACCTTGAGAATTATGTGACGGCCAAGGCCCCAGGATAAGGAGAAGTGTTCGAGCGTGAGATTTCGGCGGAGGAGTGGCCTGAGTTGGGGAAAACCGATCGAGCTGAGTGGGACGAAGTCGTGGGCACGGGTGCTATACGTGTGTTGGATGTCGAAAGGTCTCCTGAGGTTCGAAGTGGCCTTGAACGAGACCGCGTCATTCCATCCAGAATGGTGAAACGTTGGAAGCTTGGAGAGCAGCCTGGCGATGCGGACGCAATGAACAGCCGATGGTGCCTAAGAGGGGGCCAAAATCTTGACATTCTAGAACTTCTAGACCTCGACCGACATGCTCTCACCTTAAACACTAATTAATTCGTTTGGAGTCTTACTTCAGATAGCGGCCTGCATGAAGTACGAAGCCACGATCGGCGACTTGAAGAAAGCGTTTTGTCAGAGCTCGCCTTAGATGCGCAAGAACCGCGCTCTGTACGCAAATTTGCACGATGCAACTGGCCCACTGGCCGAGATTGTGGCCGGAGCTTGTGGAGTTGACTCGCCAAAACATCGGAGAAAAGCGCTTCGCGAGGCTATTCTGCGTTTGGGATACAAGGAGTCAGTGATTGACCCCACCGTGTACTACCGCCAGTCAGTCCAGGACACCTTGGATGGCACGATCGCGGTGAAGTGGACGATTTGTTCACGTTCGGCAACGAGGTTCATGAGTCCAAGATAGGGCTCCTTCACAAGAGCTTCAAGTTTGGAATGTATGAAGACGTGATGAGCTCTCAGGAAGGAGTTGGTTTCAACGGCCGAAGAGTTCGTCAGCAACCAAATTTCGAGTTTGAGGGGGACATGAAAGGCCGGCGATCAGAGCCAAAGTCGGTGGCGAATGACAGCGAGATCAATCAGGTGAGAGCAGTGATTGAGGCTCTCAATTGGTTGGCCAATGAGGAGGGCAGCGTCTCTGGGGTCGAGTACGTTTCCGAGACCAGTGGTGCAGGACATCCTGGACGTCAACTCGGCTGTCAAGTTGCTCAAGGAAAGGCCCGAGCTCACCGTCCGCGTTCGGAGCATTGACATGGACACCCTTTCATGGGGCCTGATCTCAGATGCAAGCTTTGGTAGTACTCATGCAGGGCATAGTCAAAGAACCTATGCAGTGTTAGGCTTTGACGAGAAGCTGAAAGAGGGTTGCCGCAGTCCGTGTTCTTTGATTTCCTGACAGACTTCAGAAAGTGGTGAACTCTACCTTAGCAGCTGAAACCCAGAGTTTGAGCACGGGGTTTGGAGAACTAAGCTGGATACTGACATTGTTCAACGAGCTTAAGGATGTCACCCGCGAGCTGATTGAATGGGAAGAAAGGCTCCAGCGAAACCGTATGTTGGCGAGCTCAAGCGACGGGCTCAAGTCAAGCTTGTGCATCATCGATGCTAGAGCGCTCTACGACCATCTGTCGAAGGAGACAGCCGGTCCTTCACAGAACAAACGGACGGGCCTGGAGATACAAGCGATGCGGCAACACATGGATGCCATCGCAGGAGAGGTTCGTTGGGTACCACATCCGCAGATGATCGTGGACGGCCTGGCAAAGAAGGGCGCCAACATGAGGGCTCTGTATGACCTTCTGGACATTAGTGAGTTTCACATCGTTGATGCGGCAGAAGTGCGTGACGAGAAGCGTCGAGAACGAGAGGAGAAGGGATACAAGCGTAGATGACACAACATCGAAGAAAGTTCGGGGAGCTGTGGAATCTTGTGGATTTCGCTGGTCTCAGCTGTCTCATGTGAAGCCAGTTGAAGCGCGCTGGCGTATGTGCTACGCAGCTGATGATGACGTGGAAACCGCGAGTGTGCTATCGTTGGTACCCACGTGCAGTTGTGTTGGACTCCACCTGAAATCACACCTCTCTAGCTCGCCGTCCCCTTGCTGTCGTGCAGAAGAGGTTTCTGCACAACAGCATATGACAGTTGCAGACTTCAATCTGACAAGACTCTTCGCCTAGCAAAATCCACCGAGGCTTCGGCTTTGCCTACGACCAGATTGGAATTGCAGCTTCGCGGCAACAAGGTGCCATTTCCCTCAGTGTTCTTCAAAGTACACACCGCAATATGACACATGCGCAGACTACAGCCACTTGACAATCCAAGCGGTTCGAGTCTTGTCCCCTGTTGAGCCTAACAGCATAACTCCTTAAAATATGGCCTGATATCTAAGGTGGACAGCCAGAGAACCGTGGCCGTAAAAGTGCAGCGGACTGGAAACGCCGCGACCTCTGAGGAACGTGCGCCATTGGCAATGGCACTGAGACCAACCTTTAGTGATTGCGAACGTATTATGGGCAGTTGATGCAAACGTAGTTCACGTGTCTAGTGTCTGCTGTGAACTTCAAGTCGCGTTTTACGAAGATCCGAAGGTTTCATTTCAGTGGCAATCTCGGGGGACCATGGGAGCCCTCAAGTTGGTAGCATCGCTTCGAAGGCAGAGACCCAAAAGCTTAGCAGCTATGATGTTGACCTGGAGACGACACCGAGTCACGCGCGTCTACATTGTACATCATGTACATCACCCTACAGCTCCCAGAGCCCACATTTCGAGACCCAAAGAGGTACGCGATTTGGGGGGGTTTTGCGCCGAGGTCAACACGGAAGCTTCAGTGAAGTACCAAACGCTCCTGCCTGAGTAAGTTCTCCCTGCTTGGTGCTTAGATGTGTGGCGGCGTGGCCCTTGAAAGTCGCTTACAGGCGTCCTGGCCGTGCGCAGAAGGACGAAGACTTTACCCACATTGAGGGTGTTGCACTCGGATTCGCCGTGCAGTGGTTTTGGTTGTCGGAGACAAGTCGAGCCCCAGCCCTGGAATCCTAGAATCCAAAGGGCACTTTTCGAAGTCGGAGATCAACACGGTCCCCAGAAACGGCACACAGCACAAGGAGGAAGCGGAACTATTGAGTTTGAGGTCTGGGTGTCTTAGTTGCTTCGCGTATTTCTCAAAGTAGCGAAGCTTCCCGGCTATGCCCGGAGTGTACAGAGATGTTCTCTGACCGCCAGGGTTTTCGAAAAGTGAAACAGATCCAATTCCAATGGTCCAAGGATGACTTTTAAGAACAACTTCAACAGTGCTATGGGGCCCTTGCAGACGTGAAACTGTGTGACAAACTAGTTTAGCGATTTTGTCTGCGGCAAGAAGGCCTGGGAAATTGCAAAAATACAGCCTGTGTTCGAGGCTGGGTTTTCATGCTTCTTGCAATGGGCCGTGGTGCACATAGAACACCAAAGAACACAGCGTCTTTGAGCCCTTCCCGCTCACCAAGACCCACACCAGCGACACAACTTCATCAACACGAAGCAACTACACTAGTCTCAAACCCTTGATATGACGCCTAAGGTCATACACACAGCGAGTTTTGCAGTCGCCGGTTTCCTGACACACTGGATACCCCACCGTCCTAGCTGGAGGCTAGCGGATCGAAAACGACAGTTCTTCTATTGCTGTGTCTTAGCTGTCCGGTGTGGGGGCTGGTGGTTTTGTTGGAGTGCTTGGACTGGCTGTAGCTTGTGACTTGTGTCTTTTTGTTTGGTGTCGCTTGTGACTTTGTCTTTGGTGCTACTTATTTCTCTGTTGCTGGAGACCAGCAGTCTGAACGAGCGAGCCCCCCGTTATGACCTGAAACCCCTCTGAAGTTGATATCTCCAGAGTGCTATGCAACAAGAGCAAAGACACATTGCAACTGGTTCCCGACTGTCTA